CAGCAAATGGTTTTTATATATATATATATATATATATATATATATATATGTATATATATATATATGTATGTGTATATATATATATATATGTAAGCAAATATATGGATATAGATCCGACAGTATGAAAAAAAATACAGAAAAAACAAACAAAAATCTTAATATGCAATTATGCTGTATTAATGTTAATATAAAGTCGACGTCGGACGTTTCGGTCTATTTAAGACCATCTTCATGGACATTTTCATTTAAACATAATTAACATTAGAACATATAAAAATTCAACATGAAAAAGACGATGGACATAAGAGCACAACTAATCCAAACAGATAACTGAAATTTTTATATAAGATCAGCGTTCCGTTTAAATATGATCACGTCGTCGTCACGTGGGCGATGTTGTGAAAACGTATTCGAAGATGATTTCCAAATATTTCTTATATATTTCATTAAAACAGCATAATTGCATATTAAAATTTTTGTTTGTTTTTTTTGTATTTTTTCTTTATATATATATATATATATATATATATATATATATATATATATATATATATATATAAAAACTGGTAGGCGAATAAATGATATTCTATCAAGTGCATACAGGAACACTGTAAAAGGTGTTTTTATTTTTGCTTTCGTGTCTCAGGTATTAGACTGATACTTACTTTTGATGAAGTATTATTCCTGAATGGCAGCTAGAAAGATACTCTGATCTCTTCATAGCTACCTCCTCAAAGTTCTTAAATGGAATGTTGACGCAAGAAAGTTTGCCCTTCAGTTTATCTTTATACCTGAGCCAAGGTCTACCAACATTTCTGTGACGACTCTGGATTTCATTGTAAAAAAAACAAAAACTTATGCGATCATCACTCATCCTTGGCACTCAAAGTAGTTGTGATTGCATTACGAATATCTTGATGGTACCAATCTTGCATTTCTCAAAAAGGTCGGCTTTCGCCATTCGATCATCAAATGTTAGGCTACAGATTGTACGGAGACAGCTTTTTGGAAGGCATCTAATCATTTAATGTGCCATCTATAAGGTGTCCAAGTTTCAGAGCCATACAAAAGCTGACAAATCGACAGCTTTTGTGCATAAACAATATGGAATTTGTGTTTCATCTTCACGCTTTAATCAAGCTTTTTTCTTTTATCGTTCAATTTTATATATATGTACTGCTGTCGTTTATATATAAAATATATATATATATATATATATATATATATATATATATATATATATATATATATGTGTGTGTGTGTGTGTGTAGATTTTTTTTGGTGACAAAATGAAGTAAGGAATTGTTTTTCAAGTTCAGATTTTTCGAACATGCCTGTGTTCTTTATATATATATATATATATATATATATATATATATATTTAGATAGAGAAATGAGAGAGATAAGTGGTGGGGAGGATTTGAAACAGGTAAATAAATGGTTATATGATTCTAAAATTATTGTCACTGAGTTTATGTTAAATAATAGTTTTAGCCGACTATTATTTTTTAGAGAAGTGTATCTCTGCTCGGACATCCTGGTTTGACCTCAGGAATCAGGCAGAAGACAAAACAAGGAGTCGATTTTGACTGGCTGAGCCAGCGTCGGACCGATAGAGATATAGAAAGTTTTGTTATTTCTTAACTGTCAAGTAATGTAGACGTGTTGGGTTTCGTGTCTGAAACGGTTCCCCAATGGAGGAAGAGAGCAAACCCACTGGCTAGTTAGAAGATCTTTTTATCTCTGGACTCAAAACAACTAGCGAACAGTGGTCGGGAGAGAAGAAAGTAACTTTATAATCAAATCGACACCATCACCCAAGAAACTCCCCGGCACGAGGGTGGCTATACAACATAGTATTAATTGAAGCAGTGACCAAAACCTTCCAGTATGAGGGGCCTATGCAACACTTGTCGAATTTTGAGGTTTATAGCAACTGTTTACATGCTGTTGTTAAAATGTAAACATGGCCGGAGTAACAAGTGGTGACGCCCGTCAACCTCCACCACTGATGAGAAGACTGAGCAACGTCGAAAGATGGTTTTGCGGACCGGCGTATGCACTGAGAGATAAGCCCGTGTGTTAACTGAAATACCCACAATAATCATGGTAGCCTCGGCATATGAGTCCACCTAAAAATGTAAAGGAATAACAAGAAGCGATATGTATTTATAGAAACAAATGATAATGCATTAACGATAAAAGGTGACAAAGACAATATTTTGTGTAAGAAATAAATTAGGAAATCGTTCGTCTAAATTATGTGAAATGATTCAATATGCGTACGTACGCGTGTGTGTATGTATTATTCATACGTCCCAAAAAGAGAACGCGATCTTCCGCGTGATATTTACATGTTGCCGTATAAGCGGAAAAGTAAGAAAAGGTTGCGAATATTTATCGCGAAGGATTTATAGTGCCAGAAAACTCCCCCTAGTAGCGGTTTCGAAAATTAGGAGGAGGTAACTCGATAGTAGCAAGTTAGGTATACATTTTAATTAGTTTTGCTTTTGTTTCGTTTTTTAACCAAGGGAGTTAATTCACCAATAATCATAGTGGTGGATGCAACAATGGTGATAGCGAACCGGCGAGATATCATGGATGAGGTAGAATGTTGTCTGCAGATTCAGATCAATGCTCTTTGTTCCTCCTGGGTGCACACTGTTATCGAAGCGGTCATGTTTACACTGTAACAGCAGAAATAAAACTAGTTCGATCCAGCTCAATCACGTGGCCACGCGTGAGTAGAAGACAGTGTTACAAACATAAAGGTATATTATAGCGAAAGAGTGGATAATTTTTTTCTTACGCTCATAACTTTTGTAGCACATAACCGATCTTGTAAAAGACAAAATAAAGGAAGACAAAATAAAAAAAAAGAAACATTATTTATCTTATTCGGACTGCTAATCTAATCTGCATTACCATATTCAAAACGTTTTGGCCGTTGTATGCCCCAGCCTTCTTCAGGTGATTGGAATTTTCGTACAGAACCCATTATTTCGTCCACCGGCGTAGATTGTTCTAGTTCCACGTGTCATGCTTCTTCCAATAATAATAACGGAAAAATTGCAATATGAGCGCCGGTAAAAAAAAAAATCATGGCGGAGGCATTAAGTTTATAAGTTCCAGAGATTCATACGCAGATATCCCAATGGATAAAGATGCTCGCTAAATCCTGTGACTAGACCTAAAAGAGTTGTGAGTTCAATACCAGGCTAAAATTCTGGTGAACTAAAATACTTGGACAGTCGAGTTCAAGTGAATTAGCCGAGACATCGGGAAGAGGCATGGCACGCGGAACTAGAACAAGCTACTCCGGTGGACGAAATAAAGCGTTCGGTCCGAAGAAGGCCAGAACGTAAAACGGCCGAAAACGGGTGAATATGGCAATAAAGATAAGGACAACCGTCCTGAATAATGTAAATAATCATAACACTGCATCTCAGAGATATAGACAGATAAAAAAAAAATAAAAAAAAGAGGAAACATTCATATTTCTGACTCTTCGAGTTTTGGACATTCTTGCAATTACAGCTACCGTTTTGGTCCCATTCAAGTTTAAGAATTCTTTTAGAGATCTTTTTTTTTTTTAAAGACAAGCTATCAACAAGTAGAATTAAAAATGATAATTCTTTTTTCGGATAATTTCCAAGAACGCTAGCTATGTCGGATAAGAGGAATATCGTTTTCTATTTGCAGAAAGAAAAAAAACACGTGAGAATACAAAACCAAAGAATATAACAATTAAAGAAAATACGGCACTGGATTGAAACGAACAAAATTAAAAAGGAAAGAGAAAAATCGGAAAAGCCTTGTTGGAAATATTAATTTTGTTTTGGGTTTTCGATTAGACATTTATTTATTTTTGGGTTTTACATGAATTCCTTATATTTCATATTTATGTTTTTTATGTTTTATTCGTTCTTTAAATTTATTGTGAACGTTTATCGGATCTTTCCACGTTTATCATCCTGTCTTTTAATAATTTTTTTTATGTTTTAAAGACTATTTCATGATCCGAAGGGTCTCTTTGAATTCGAAGAATTCGAGTTATTAATGGCAGACGATAAATTTCTTGATAAATAAAAGTGGAAAGTCTTCTAGTTCTTCTTTAAGTACCTTTCAGATATGCCTGTCTTTCAATTTTGTTCTCATTTCTTTTTTTCTCATTCAGCCGATCTCTTTCTTTCTCTTCATTAAGTTATTTTATCTTTCTTTCTTTGTTTCATTCGTTGTTTCTTTCTGTCTTACTTTTTTTCCCTGTTTTTCATTCTTTCTTTGCCTTTTCTTTTTGGATTCTTTGCTTTAATTCATTCCTTCTTTCATTCTTTCTATGAGTTTCAACATGTTGCTTTCTTTTTCTTAAGTCTCTCTTTTCTTCTCTTGGTTATCGTCATGTTCTTTCTTTCTTTCTTTCTTTCTTTCTTTACTTCTTTCATTCTTTTTTTAAAATTCTTTCTTTAATACTCTCTTTCGTCAAATGGTCATGATTATCTTTTTCTTTCTTTCTTTTTCGTTTTTATTATTCCTCTTTCTTTCTTTTTGCATCATTTTTTTCTTTTCTTTATTTTCTTTTTTACCTTAATTTCTTTATTTATTTTTTTCTTTCTTTCTTTCATTTTTCTATTTTTTTTCTTTTTTTCTTTCTTTTCCTTTCTTTTTTTTTTTCTTTTTTCATTTTTTGCCTTCATTTTACATCCTTTCATTTTTTTCTATAAGTTTCAACATGTATTTTCTTTTTATTCTTCAGACTCTTTTTCTTCAACTTTTTTCGTCCTGTAACTTTTTTTCTTTCTTTCTTTCTTTTCTTTCTTTACTGCTTTCATTCTTTTTTATTTTAATTCTTTCTATATGTTGCCTTCTTTTTTTAAGCCTCTCTTTCATCAGCTGGTCAAGGTTATCTTCTTTCTTTCTTTTTTCGTCCTTCCTTCTTTTCTTGTTAACATTCTTTCTTTTTTCCTTCTTTGCGTTGTGTTGTGTTTCTTATTATTCCTTAG